TTAGAAGAATTCCAGGTAACATTTGAAAGTTGTCTAGCAAGGAACGATTAAACTTTTTTTGATTAATAACTTTCTACTACTATCTTGAAATTTCCACTTATTGCAAATAAAAGAATATTCGATATAGAGAGACGTTTATTATTTGCAAATTCTAAAATCCATAACATTGTGTGCACAGTAAGAGGGAAATGATGTTCATTCAACAGATAATCAGAGTCTCAAAGACTCAGAAAAGACTCAGAAACAGTGGGTTAGAGTCTCAGTGAACCTGTCTTAAGAATGAACATATTATATAGTGCTAAGAAATACAGTAGTTGGTCAAGTCAATTAGTTGATGTTGGTTCAGCTGAGCTGTGAAAGAGGAAGCTGAGCTGTCAGGTGTCAGAGTAGTTGATTAAAACAACAGCCAAAAATGGAAGAGTTAAGCCTTTAATCACTTAAATGCTATGGTATAAGCAAGGGTCTAAAATCAGAGAAGGTGCCAGAGTCCCTGTTCCATTTCCTCTACAGGGCATACTGGGCAAAGGTCAGGTGGATCTACACAGATGTGAGGGTCATCTCTCCGTTGAAGGGGCCCAAACAAAAGACTCCAGCAGTTTTATGGAATCTGGGATTGGGACGTGGCTGGGGTGTCTTTAAGGTTTCCCCTCCTTCCTTCAGAGAGAGGCATCTGAAGAAGACCTCTGCCCAAGGCCTCAGAAAAAGACACCAACAAATGAAGTCTCAGGGCTAGGAATGCAGTTATGTGAGAAAGCATGACCCACCAAGGAGTTCTGAGTCCTTGACTGCATCTGCCTCCACGCACTTCCTCCCTGAAGCCTGCCAGGGAAAGCCTTTGTAATTGTCTGTGATCAAGTCTGAAAACCACAGAGGTTTTCAACTGGCTTCCCGGGTGATGCTCAGACACCACAAACCTACCGTTATCTGTATGTATATAAAAGTTTCATGGCTTATCTTAAACATATGGTAGGAAATTACTAAAATTCAAGTCTATTTTAATTTTTAGGATGTATAATTTTTAAATTTAATTTCACTTCTCAATATATTTGTCTACATGTTACAAAGATTAAAAAAGTACCCAGAGATAATTATGATTACCTATTATATTAAACTAGGAGCCCAGTGTGCAATTTGAAATCACATGGCGCCGCCCACCTTCGAGTCACCAGCCGGGCCCTGCCTCGCTCCCCGAGCCCCACAGCAGCCCCGGCCACTGCTGATCAGGCCCTCCCCCAGCACAGGCGCACAGAGGCCCCTGCCGCCCCGCCCCCGATGCTGGGTGCGCAACCTCCTCCTGTCTGGTCGACCCGGTTAATTAGCATATTTCTCTATTTTATATATATATATATATATATATATATATATATATATAGTTGTTTCAAGCAAAATATGGGCTATATTAAGGTTACATTTTTTGATATAACAACTGTGAGATATAAATCACATGGTGTACAGTTCACCCATTTAAATTGTACAAGTTAATTTTTTTTAGTATGTTCACAGGATTGGACAATCATCACCACAATCAATTTTAGAACAATTTAATCACACCACTGATCTTTCTCTCTGTGTAGTATTGCCTATTGTGTATATTTCAAATAAATAGACTCATTCAATATATGATATCATATAATCGGTTTCTAGTGTAGTATTTCAAGGTTCATACGTGTTGCACTAGGTACCAATGTTGTACCACTTTTTCGGAGATGGGGTGCGGAAAAGTGGCCTCTGAGTGGTAGCTTCTGGACTCCTTGGCTTGTCTATCTTGGATTGTAACATCCACCCTATGAGTGGACCAGCCCAAGGCAATCAGGACCCCAATATCCATGGCCTGTCATCACTCCAATATGGGGTTGAGTAGAGGTAGGAATCCTCAGACCTCTCAGTGGCACTCACTTGATATTTAGCCTCTATGATATGGAACTGGGGAAAAGAGATAAAAAATGTTGGGCACCACACACCCCTCAGGCTGATACCATAGCCCTTAATGGGGAGTTTTGGGGAGAGGGTGCCCAGTCTTCTTGGGTGGGGAGAAGTGTCCTGGCTCAAGTGCTAAGATTCACTGTCCTTAGAGAGAGTTAGTAGGTTTTCTTTGTTGACTGTTTTGTCACTTGTTATACATACTTTAGACCAGTGGTTCTCAACCTTCTGGTCCTTTAAATACAGTTCCTCATGTTGTGACCCAACCATAAAATTATTTTCGTTGCTACTTCATAACTGTAATGTTGCTACTGTTATGAATCGTAATGTAAATATCTGATATGCAGGATGGTCTTAGGCGACCCCTATGAAAGGGTCATTCGACCACCAAAGGGGTTGCGACCCACAGGTTGAGAACCGCTGCTTTAGACTCTTCCCCAGACCTTAAATAGTTGATTTTAAAAATATGTTTCACCAGAAGCTAGCCGGTTTGGCTCGGTGGATACAGCGTTGGCCTGTGGATTACAGAGTCCTGGGTTTGATTCTAGTCAGGGACACGCATGTCTCTCACATTGATGTTTCTCTCTGTCTTTCCCTTTCTCTGAAATTCAATGGAAAAATATCCTCGAGTGAGGATTTTAAAAAATATACCTATGTATGTTTTACCAGTTATGGCTGTTTACTGGGGAGAGGGTCCTTGAAGATCTCATAGCACCATTCTGGAAACTGTCCCTAAGTTCATATTTTTAACCACTGAAAAAAAATGTTGCTCACCATATTTTTTATGTTATCCAAAATTGATCATCATCTGGGCACACTAAAATAATTTAGTGAGTACTTTCTTCATAGGCACTTCATTTGATTAATGCCTGCCTTATTGTTATTTCTCTCATACTGACTTACAATAGCACTGAACACAACCAATTGCTTTATGTCAGAAAAAAATAAAAGTAAAAGCAGTCCAATCTTTGGAATTTATAACAATTACATTTATGCAGGTCTCAAAGGGTAATCATAGTAACAGCCATAGTGACAAAAACATTCAAATCCATCATCCTATGTTCAAAAACACATTCTTTTGGATTAATAGCATATATCTTCCCTATAAGTTTTTTTTCTTTAATGAAAATACAATACAAACACATATAGGATTTTATAGTCCATACTAAAAAACAGCAATTCATAATGAATTGGCTTTATTAGAAAATCAACAAGTATCTATTAGTGTCTGTCATGTACTCAAAATGTGCTCTAGGAAAAAACACAAGGATTATTAAGTATAAATCTACTTTTAGGGATATAACCTAATTGCAGAGAAAATACTAATGTGTGTTTCAGAAAAAAAAATGTTGCCATTGATTTCTATTGGTTTTCAGTTTTTCCTTTCAAATCAACTATCTCAAACCTCTGACCACAGTGTACCTTTCTCATTTTTTTAAAAAAAGAGATTGCTTCCTGCCTTAGCCAGGGCTTCTCTGAAGCAAAGTTCAAGACTAGGCCACATGTGTACATAATAATAGAGATAACAGAAAGGGGAGAGAAAAATGAGAAATGAAAAAAAAAACAGGGCTACATTATAGAGTTCACTTCTGTGGGCAACTGAGACTTTACCCTGCCTATGACCTTCTTAGAACAGTCCACCTACCATTAAATAGAAATTATCTGTGGTTGCCAGCCTCCTCTCAGAATATCATGCTACTCTTTGTGTATTCAAGTCAAAGGGATCACCTTGAGTTTCTGTATTTTATCTTTCTCACCACAGATAATTACCAACTCTTCCCTCTTCTCAAATATCTCTTTCTCTTTTCTTGTCAGTTAGTTACTTTTCAAATGTAACTAATCCATAAATCAATTTAACCAACTTTTTCTTAGGGAACACTCCCTAACCCAAGATGTCAGCTCCATATTAAAGTCTGTTTTTATAGCACTAGACACTCTTTTTAAAAGAAAATATCCAGTTGTGATTATACATTTATCTATATGATTGTTATTAATATATCCCCACTCCATTAAACTATTAGATACAAGGGGCATTGTCGTTTTTTTGTTTGTGTCCACCTCTGTATCCTAGACACATATTTCAGTGCCTGTCACATAGTAATAACTCAGTAAATATTGGAGAATGAAAAGGAAACATGAAACTGTAAAAGCTTAAATATTAAATGGTAAGCTTGTAAGTATAAATAAATTCAAATTTTAAGGAAGGTTGATATGCAAACAAATGAAAGAAAATCATTTCATGTTTGGGATTAATAGATTAGCAAATATAAAAATTCAGAAATGAATATGCTGTATATAAAAACATATGAGGTGATAAAACCTGGAATTAAAGATACATATTGATATAATAGTAAAATTGAATAGGTAGCAGCAAACCATTTAAAAAACCCCTCAAAAGTTTGGAAATTCTTAGAATATCTTGCTCTATAAGAGAGAATTGCTTAAGGATTCTGGTCAAGAGAGAGGAATAATTAAAGTAGCAGTGAATTAGGATGTATAATTAAATTATATGGGTGAAATAGAGAGAAAAATAGTAAAAGAGAAGCCAGCTGTCAGGGTCTTGAGTTAATGTACATATAGGATTGTGGTAGTCAGGCTGGGAATATAAACAGCAGAGAGAATCAAGGGGTATTTCAAATAGATTTTTCCACATTGGAGGTAGAAAATGAAAGGTAAGGAAAATAAAGGTAAGTTAAATACGATTTCAAGAATGTTTACTCTGGGAGATAAATTAAAATTGCTAATTTTAGGAGTCCTTCAAGTCAAAGAAAACTTTGAAGAGAAAAGCAGGAGAAAGAAAAAAAAATGTTGTTACAAAACAGATTGAAAGGGACTGAGAGAAAATGAATATGCAACATGCCCAGGATTCCCTGTGAGTTCATATCGGTATGAATAGCAGGAAACTGAGGTCTGAGCATTCCACCACCTCATGTGAATGGACACAGATAGACTGACAACAGCCACAAGGTCTCCACAGCTCCTCTCTTTACCAGGGGACATTGGTCTTCCCCTGGCCCATCTTGACTGGCCCAGTGACTCCTTTTGACTAATTGAATGAGATAAAACTGTGCAATTTTTCCCCAGGTGTTCAGGGCATGAACCAGGCATGACATAGATTAAAAGCCAAGCTGGGATAAATACAGAGTTACTTTGTCCCTGGCTTGTAAATTTATTTTTTTATGTTTTTATTGATTTTTTAGAGAGAGAGCAAGGGAGCGGGAAAGAGAGAGAAACATAAATAGAAGAGAGACACATGGATGAGAGAGAAACAATTTTTAAGTCTTGGTTTTAGGAGATTTGTGATCTGCACCATTGCTGAGATTAATATTGCCACGGTGTAGCTTAGCCACCAGCCAGCATCCACTGCCACCCGAGTGAAAGCGGCCATCACAAACCACACAGCCCCAGGGAGTCAGCTAGATGTCTAGATGACTAGAACTCTATGAGTGAAACAATGTCAGACCAGCCAGAGAACAGACCATCACAAGCAAAACTTAGAATAGTTTTGTAATAGGGCACTACATTTTGGTGTAATTATTACACAGCAATTGAAAACTAATTACATATCCCCCCAAATGAGTGACACTTAGTAAAAACAAAAAGCGAGTCATGGGCTTTGGGTCCAAGTGGTCAGAGGCTAGGAGAGTGGCCATCAAAAAAACCTGGTGGAGGTTGGAAATCAGGAAGAAAATCAAACTCTTGGTTGAGTTGATTGTTTGCTCACTTTTGCCTATTTTTCAGAGGCATCACAAAAATGCTCTGTTAGTAATCAGAAAATGGCATTCATTTTAAGGGGTTTCAAAAGAGATTGAACTTTATTTTTCAACTGGCATTGTACCCTATGTCTTCTAGGGAAAGTGAAAAAAAAGAGGAATGTGCAGGTGGCATGGAAGAACTGCCCTACATCTGAGAGCCAAACATTATCATCATGATCTTGGTATGTCTTGAAGCCTGATTATTCAGAAATTGGAGCTTCCCTCAGTATTTAATTATAAGATGTGCCACAATTGGTAAATAGAATCTTTAAATGTCAACATGTATAAAGAGAAATATTAGGTAACGTAGGGACCTTCAGTACTTCAGTCCATAATTATCTGGAGAGAAAGGTCTTGAAATGCTTGCTCACAGCAAAGGGGAAGCTAGGAAATAATTGATCATAATGAAGAAGTGGGTGGCTGCCTCCTGTGATGATAATTAAGTGATTATTTCTACTGGGAAATAATCTTTGTACAAAGAGGATTGTTTGAACTCTGAGGGCTGTGGTTAACCACATACCCTTTTATTTCTATGGTGGGACTAATAAGGCAAAAAGGAGAAAGGGGTTGTGAAAACAAATCTTTGAGAGTTTTAATGACAACCACAACCCAGAATTTGTAAAAATTAGAAGTGTATGTGACATTTGGGGGATGGCAGTTATCAATGATAGATCCTCCCTTCCCCCAACTGGTGGGCAGAGTATGACGTAACCTGCAGCCCGGAAATACCTGAGTGCCTAACCATGTACCTTATATGGACTATACATTGAACCACCAATCAGGACCTGCCTAATACCCTAAGCCCTTGTTCCTAACTATGTACCTTATATGGACCATACATTAAGCCACCAATCAGCACGCGCCAAGTACCCTAAACCCCATTCCTTCCCATTCCTCCCCTCAAAAGGAGTGCTCACCTCTGCACGGGTTGCTGCTCTCCCCTTGCGAGACAGAGGGGCAGGTCTTTCTCCTAATAAAGCCTGTAATGCCTGGTTTTCGGCTCCCCACTGATCTTTCAATCAATACATCAGACCAGCTACCCCTCTCCAATTTGAAGGCACTCAAAAGAGCTGAACAAAATGTAAGAAGAATTCATTTGAAGTTCATTAAAGAGATAAATTGGTGATGAGGTCTTAACAGCCTACCATTAGAAAAGGAAAATGACTCAGTTGACCACAAGACTTAGGGATACATTTTAGGGGTGCATTTTCTGTTTTTTTTCTTTTACCTTATTGTGGTAAGAACACTTAACATGAGAGCTACTGTCTTAACATACTTTTAAGTGTACGGACCAATATTTTTTACTTCAGGCACAATGTTGCACAGCAGATCTCCAGAACTATTCATCTTGCATAACTGAAACTTTATGCATGTTAATTAGCAATTTCCCACTTCCTCCTCCATCTTTGACTCTATGAATTTTACTATTTTAGATACCCCATCTAAGTGTAATAATTCAGTATTTATCCTATTGTGACTGGATTACACTATAAGTCTTCACTTAAGGTCTAGGTTAGGTTCTGTGACTTTAAGTGAAATGACATAATGAAACCAACATACTATAGGTTAATTGATATAAACAAGAGTTAAGTTTCTACAGCATCTAATCAATGTTATAAGGAAATTAAGTTGTTTGAAAGGATGTTGTTCATTGAAGTACCAGCTGTGTTTCATTTACATAATGTCCTCCAGGTTCATCCATGTTGTCACATATTACAGATTTTTTCAGTTGAATAATTTTATACTATAGATATATACAGCTTTCCTTATTCATTCATCACTCAATGAACATCTAGGCTGCTCCCATGTCTTGGCTACAGTGAATACTGATGCAAAAGAACCTGAAAATGCTAATATCTCTCCAACATCCTGATTTCAATTCTTTTGATTAAATATCCAGAATTGGGTTGATGGATCATATAGTAATTCTATTGTTAGTTTTTGAAGGAACCTCCACACTGTTTCCACAGCAGCTACACAGTTTTGCATTTCCAGGAATAGAGTACAAAGGTTCCAGTTTCTACATATCTTCCCCAACACTTGTTGTCTTTTGATTTTTTTTTTATAATAGCCATCTTAGAGGTGTGATATTTCATCATGGTTTGGATTTGCATTTTCATGATGATTAGTAAAAAAGAGAGTCCTTTCATATATATAATGGTCATCTGTATGTCTTCTTGGGAGAAATGTCTATTCAAATCTTCAGCCCATTTTAATGATGTTATTAGTTATTGGGGGGTTTTAATTTGCTATTGAATTGTAGGAGATTCTCATACATTTTTATGGTATGCAAGTATTTTAAAGTTGCCATGTCTCCCTGTCAATTATTTTCCTTGCTGTGCAGAAGATTTTCAGTTTGATGCAATTCTTCTTGTTTAATTTTGCTTCTGTTTTCTGTTTTTGGTGTCATATCCATAAAATCATTACTAAGAACAATGTCTTGACGACACTTTTCCTCTATGTTTTCTTCTAGGGGTTTTACAATTTCAGTCTTGCATTGAAGTCTGACTGATATGAGTCTTGTGTATGGTGTAAAGTAAGAGTCCAACTTCACTATTTTGCTTTTGTATATCCAGATTTCTCAACACTATTTTTGAAGAGATTATCCTTTCCCTAATGTGGATCCTTGGCACCTTTCTCAAAGATCAATTGACCACATATGTGCGAATTTATTTCTAGGCTCTCTATTCTGTTTCATTGGTCTATACATCTGTCTTTATTCCAGTATCATACTGTTTTAATTACTGTATTTTTATAATGTACTTTTAAATTAGGAAGTGTGATAGCTCAAGGTTGATTTGGCTATCTGTGATCTTTCAAGATCCTGTATGATTTTTAGAATTGTTTTTACTATTTCTATAAATATATCAGTAGAATTTTGATAGTACTGTAATGAATTTGGAGATGGATTTGGGTAGTTTGGCATTATAACAATATTAAATCTTCCAATCCATGAACATAGGCTGTCATTCCATTTGTTTGTGTCTTCATTAATTTCTTTCATCAATATTTTGAAGTTTTCAGTATGTCTTCCCCCTTAAGCTTTATTCCTAAGTATTTTAACATTTTTTGTGTTATTGTAAATGGTAAAAGAGTCAACACATCAGGAAGATAAAACAATTATAAATATATATGCACTTCCAACATCACAATGATTGCCCAATATGTAGTAATTTGACTATTACCCTGCTATGTTGGATAAAGCATGCTCTAGAGTTTTAGTCGATAAATAAGAAATGCAAATGGATAGAGTATTAGAAAGAGAAGCGAGGTACCTCAATATTTTTCTCATTTTAAGAATCCCAAGCTGCACAATGAATATCTACTTATATCTTCCTTCCTGCCTCGGGTTCTGAATCCCAGTGTGTTAAATCAGTCCTCTATCTTTCTGGTTTACATTTATGTCTGAATGGCTAGCATTTTAAAGCAGGAGTTTTATGAAACATCCCTCAGTGTGTTCTCTGTGGTACAGTTTAATATTGGAATAAAATCCAGTTTATCCTTTACAACTAGCTGTTGGTTTATTTTCTTTATTTTTCCTCTTCAATTTCTTCACCCAAATTTGTTGCCAGAGGCACACTTGTTAGTTCTGGCCTTTCATCAGAGGATTCCATTCATTTGTCATGTTGCCAAAGTGAAAGGTTATTCCAGGAAGTAAGAAATTTAGGGAAGAGGCAAGTTGAGATGGGAGCTGGTTATCTGTGCCCACTTAAATCAACCCACCTCACAGATCTGTCATTTGGGTACTTTGAGATTCATTAACAATCAAAACAGCACTTTTCTTCTCAGTGATATTTGGTAATCATGATAGTAATTTTTGTTACTTTGAAATCTCTAGGCTAACACTTACCTGCTAGGCCCAAAATGTGTTTGAAGACATGGGCAAATATATGTGTTGCTAAAACCAGAAAAAGGAATCAGCCAAACTTTAAGTGCTCTGTGCTAACCATGGCCTGCTCTTTATTTCCATTGCTCTCCAGTTGTTCCTGGGGCTGAACTTCATTTCACTTCGGAAACCATATATTAGGAATAAATGTAAATATCATTTCTCAAGGATGGATGGTTTACCCAAAATTCGTAGATTTCTACCTCCACAAAGAACAATAAACAATGTTGGTAATCCTGAAGATAAACCTTTCAATCATCACTACTTACAAATAGATAAATGTTGACAATCAGCCTGAGGAAAAATTAGGAGGTAGGTGATGTCAGGGGGCTTTAACTTCACTCTGTAGTGCTTGCAGGTGCCTCAGGCAGGGGTCCAGATGCTAAGCAGCAGAAGCAGTCTCTGGCTTCAGTGAGGACATTCCATATGCCTTCTGATTTAGAGAAAATCCCTCCATGATTCACTCTAATCCTCAGAGTCCAATAGAAGGGAAACTGACAGAGCAGTGCCAGGCCTCTGAATCCTTCAATATCCTCTATGTAGCGAGCTAAGTCTGCATGTGGTACCTG